GAAATTTCAAGCAATCTGGTCATTGAAAAATAAAATATTCCATTAATTTTCTGTTTGAATGATCTGAAAATCATTAAAATACTTGCTTTTTCAGTGCAATTATCCCGTGAAAATTCGGAAAAATCAGGAAAATTTAGGGAAAAATTGAAAATTCATATCATTTTGTTATTGAATATTCATGTTCCATTGAAAATTCAATGAAGTTGTGAAATTTAAGTCTCATTGTCACTGACAACTCATGAATTTAATTGAATTCTACCTAAAACTTGAAATTTCATAACCATTTTTCCCCTAAATCAGATTCAATGTCATTTCCCGAGAATTACTACCAAATTTTCCATGAAATTTCGAAAAATTTCTAACAGTGTGGGTGGGATTATGTAAGTGTGCAAAATATACAAGAATCAACACTAAAGATCACAAGGTCGTTAAGGTTAGAAATGACCAAGTTGAATAAGGCTCAAAATAAAAGGGAAAAATCAGGCCCGTTGGCGCGCTCCGCGCGCTCACTCTTTGGGGTGTGACCGGTAGGGGTGGGTGGAATTGGGTGTGACCCATTAAAGGTCGAACCAATAACTTCCCGACCGATTCCCATTTGTCTGTTCATTAGAACAAAAAACGCAAATTTTGAAATTTCCATCCTGATAACTACAAAACGGCTGAGACGATTTTACTTGGCATCCACATAAAATCGAATTATATAAAGATGCATCGATTGCATGAGCAGGAATGGAATCCCATCATTTTTCTACGTAGAATTATTGAATTTTCAAAAAAATAACGAGACAACCGCTGAGATGATTTTTCTTTTAATTCAATAAGATTTACTCTACACAGGGACGCGTCGATTGCATCCAAAAAAATTCAAATCACATCATTACTCTAGGAGAAATAGTGAAAATGGTGAAAAAAACCTCATTTTCGACGTTTTTTCCCATATTTTTAGCGAATAACTGAAGAACCGCTGAGGCGATGGTTTTCATAATCTTATCAGCTCTAAGTTACATGGAGATGCGTCGATTAAAAAAAAATCAAATTGCATCGTTGGTTCAAGAGAAATCGTGTCCCAAAATTTTCGGGTCACATACATTCGCACACACACACAAACACACACTCCCCTCCTGGGAACTGCAGCACCTTGTCAACGGTGGAGGGGCTTAAGGGATGTTCTCAAACTAAGAAGCAGTTCGAACCGACGTCTGTTCTTTTCAGGACATCATAGAAGAGAAGCCCAACTCCAAAGGAGGCGTGCAGGGTGGGCTCCCTATAACAGCCTGCCCTAATGTCAAGATATTCACCATGCTAAGTTTTGGAAGGCGCCAGGGGTAGTTGGCGTCGCGAACGGTGGTCCCTGGGGCACCAGGTCCCACCCCAGGTGTATTAAGTGGGTTTACTGCTACACCCGGGGCTCTATCAGGAGTGGACTGTTATACTTCCCTAGGTACTCGTGGGAACATGATGGATAATAAAGTAAACACACAATACGAAGATAAAAAGCAGGACAACGTGGCTCAAAAAACTGGGCCAAGTGACGAGGTCACATTGAAGAAGATGTGAGATAGGCATGAACAGCTCATAGCCGACCTGATCACTTACATGAAGGAGAAGAGGAGCATCAACGCTCATTGTCGAGAGATGGTGAACTCTATCAGTACCTCTGCCAAACGGCTCAGGCAACTAAGAGGACATGCAGGGCAGGTCACATCGGCATCTTTTCTTGTAGGGCTGACGTGGACGCTCACTGAAGGCACCGCGACCTCGATGGACTCGGAGTCGGAGGGTGACAGCTCTGCTCTCTCTGATAACAAGGCTTCCAAGATGAAGAGGAAGTCTCGAGATTCACCACCGACGGATACTAGGGACCTCAAGAAGAAGAAAGATGAGATGAAGGCCGCTCATGCCCCGAACAAGAAGGAGAACGGACTTGCAAATTTATCGAAGTGGGAGCAGGTCAAGCCGAAGAAGAAGAGGCAGAAAGCACAGCCGCCAGAAAAGCGCAAGGAAAATGAGAAAAAGAAGCAGAGGGCACCAGTCATGAGGCCCAACGCTTTGATTGTACGCCCGAAGGACAAGCAGCAGTACTCGGAGGTGCTCAAACGAGTGAAGCAGCAGATACCCTCCGACCAGGCTCGTTACTGCGTCGACAAAATCCGCAGAACGACCACAGGAGATATGCTGATTATCCTATCAAAGGATAAGGAGGATGAAGCTGGCCGCTTACACAAGGCGATAGTCGAACTCCTCGGAGAAGAGTCTGATGTCCTCAAAAGGGCCACAGGAAGAGCTTGAGATCAAAGACCTCGATGAGCTGACGATGAAGGAGGAGGTGTTGGAGACCCTCAAACTCGCGGCGGGAGCAGATTGCCAAATTGCCCCGGATGCCATCAGATCTTTGCGCAAGGCCTACGGAGGTACCCAGACTGCATCAGTGACAGTGGCTGCAGCGGTAGCGAAGAAAGTCCTAGGCGATTGCGATAGGATTCGTATAGAATGGGTGACCTGCCGGATCCGAAGGGTGGAGACAGTGACCAAGTGCTTCAAGTGTTGGCACTATGGACATCTCGCCATCAAATGCAAGAGCCAAGTGGACAGAGCGAAGCTCTGTACAAAGTGTGGCGAAGAGGGACACAAATCTGCTACCTGTGGAAAAGAGGCCCGCTGTGTCTTATGTGCTAAGAGAGATCCATCGAAGGACTGTGCTCATACTGCTGGTAGCAGCAGATGCCCTGTCTTCAGGGAGGCACACCAGCAGGTGAATAGGAAACGATAATGCGGATACTGCTGGTCAACCACAACCACTGTGAGGCTGCACACGATCTCCTTATGCAGACGGTGCGTGAGCTGAAGATTGATCTGGCGATCGTCTCGGAGCCATACAGACATCTGAGCACTCAGCCCTGGAAGACGGACAAGAGTCGCAAGGCCGTCATCTGGCCTTGCAGAAAGTATCCGTTCCAAAGTGTTGCGACTACTGATGAGGCTGGCTTTAGGGTAGCTAAGCTGAATGGAATTTATTTCTACAACTGTTAAGCTCCACCAAGCCTCACCCTTGACGGATTCACGGACTTCCTGCACAGACTAACTGAGGACGCGAAGCAGCACTTCCCTATTGCAATCGCGGGGGACTTCAACGCCTGGGCAGTCGAGTGGAGTAGCGACGAGACCGAAGAATGGGGGCAAGCACTATTGGAGGATATGTCTTCACTAGACATTGTCCTGCTGAACAATGGTGATGGACCCACGTTCGAAAGAGGAGTCAAGAGCTCAATAGTAGACCTCACCTTCGTCAGCAGTAATCTCGCAAGAGGAAACTGCTCCTGGAAGGTGATGGATATCTACACCGCTAACGATCACCGAGCAATCTTTTGGGAGGTATCCGCTGGTCGAAGGATCAGACGAACGACTAAGAAGACAAACGAAATCGGCTGGAAGGTGAGCACCTTCGAACCTAGCTCATTCTTAGTGGCACTAGATGATCACCCTATAAGTGGCAGCAGTGCTACGGAGAAAGCCGAGTATCTTATGAGAAGAGTTAGCGAGGCCTGTGATGCCTCAATGCCTCGTAAACGCAGTGGAGGCCGTCTGCCACCGGTGCACTGGTGGAACGATCAAATCGCCGCTCTTCGAGAGAAGTGCGTTAAGGCTAGAAGGTCAGCTCAGCGTGGTCGGAAAAAACCAAACTCCGAAGAACTAGAGATGAAATATAAGGATGCACGCCGAAAGCTTACCAAAGCTATCAAGGAGAGCAAGAAGCAAGGCTGGATTGGACTCCTCGACGAAGTCGAGAGTGATCCGTGGGGAAGACCGTACAAGGTGCTTATGACGCGGCTAAAAAGCCAGCCCATGCCATTTCCGTCATGCCCCGAGCTCCTGGAGAAGATGGTAACGGCGTTGTTCCCTCAACAACCGGAACTCCGCCAGCCCACGGAGCACAGCATGGAAACATCGATCCCACCAATTACGGAGGAACAACTTAAGGAAGCTTGCGACAGAGTGGGAAACACCAAGGCTCCTGGCCTTGATGGAATCCTCAATATTGCATTAAAAGCAGCGATCAATGCACCACCAGGACTGTTTCTGGACGTATACAATGCATGCCTGGAGGAAGGCACCTTTCCCGCGAAGTGAAAGCAGCAGAGACTAGTGCTCTTCGCCAAAGGGAAGAAGCCACCGGACGAGCCATCATCATATGGCCCACTCTGCATGCTAGATACAGCTGGGAAACTTCTCGAGCGCATCATCCACAAAAGGATAGAAGCAGCAGTAGAACCGCTGCTAGCTAATAACCAATACGGCTTCCGAAGAGGTCGCTCTACCATCGACGCCATTGACCTCGTCGTCAACACCGCCAAGGAGGCGATCTCTGGGAGAAGATGGAGAGAAGGTACGAAAAAGTACTGCCTGGTGGCGACGTTAGATATCAAGAACGCCTTCAACTCAGCCAGATGGGACTGCATTATGGAGGCTCTCGAGAGGATGATCGTTCCAGAATATCTGTGGAGGATGGTAGCTAGCTACCTCACCGACAGAGTTCTCAAGTACGACACAGAGACCAGTCCTAAAGAGTACCAAGTCACCGAAGGGGTACCTCAGGGCTCGGTGCTGAGCCCTCTCTTGTGGAACATCATGTATGATGGATTGCTGAAGGTAGCATTGCCAACTGAGGTGAGACTCGTGGCATTTGCGGATGACGTGGCGGTGGTGATTGTGGCGAAGCATCTGGAAGAAATCAACTCCATCTTCGATACGACATTCCGGAGGATACGTCAGTGGATGGATCTAGTTGGATTGCAACTCGCGGAGCATAAAACGGAAGCGGTGCTCATTACTACTAGGAAGAAATTCGGGAGTATCACACTGCAAGTCGGTGACTACCAAATCACATCTTAGCCGTTTATTCGGATCTTGGAGTGATGATCGATGCCCGACTCAAGTTCAAGCAGTAAGCGAAGCATGTGGGTACCAAGGCATCTGGAGTCAGATCCCCCTTAGCACGCCTCATGCCCAATATAGGAGGTCCTAAGCAACGGAGACGAGCGCTGCTGTCTTCAGTGGTTACGTCAGTGCTTACATATGGTATTTCCATTTGGGCTGACGTCCTCCAGCTGCAAGAAGCTCGCCATAAAATTGCACCTGTCTATCGGCTGAGTGCCCTCAGAGTTGCGAGTGCATACCGGACGGTATCTGAGGGCGCAGTCTGCGTCATCTCAAGAATAATACCGATAGAGGTATTAGCTGAGGAGCGAAGATCCCTGTATGAACGGAAGAGATCAGAAGCGCTGAATTCCGAAGAACTGAAAATCCAAGAGAGACGAAACAGCTTGAGCCGATGGCAGCAGAAATGGTCCGATTCGACCAAGGGGAGATGGACCTATCGTCTGATCTCGCAAGTGGCTGCCTGGGTAAGTCGAGACCATGGAGAGATAAACTACTATCTTTGTCAAATGCTTTCAGGACACGGGTGCTTCCGGGCACATCTTCATAAATTCAAACATGGAGATTCCCCGAAGTGTCGCACCTGCGCAGAAGTGGACGAGAATGCGGAGCACGTATTCTTCACATGCCCCCGTTTCAGTGACATCCAGGATACTTGGGACACTGAACTCGGAAGGAAAGTCTCGCCCGAGAATCTAGTAGAAGCAATGCTGTCATCACAGACAGCCTGGGACGCAACGAGCAACTTTGCAGCGGAAGTCATGAAGGAAGTCAGAAACGAGGAACGCACGCGCAAGGTTGCATCATAGATGAGAAATCTATTTGGAACCTCCTAATCACACATAACTTCTTAGCAGGTTAGGGGGACGTACATTGGATGGAACGAGTGGAAGAGCAAACAGCTGAGAACCCCCCTCGCGACGTAATACTCCACAGTGGTGCCACGAGGGAAATGGGAACGAACGATTAGAGATAAAAAGAGGAAAACAGGGTTTTTACTGGGTAAAAATCCCGGATCTGGTTTTTAACATTACTTTACGAGAATCTTTTGAAGATTTTCCTAAACCTCTATAAAAAAACACACACACACACAAACACGCGCGCGCGCGGAGGAAATCTGAGCCAATAAGCGCAATAGAGCTCAGCGCAGAAGAGAGATGAAAGAGTCTACAGCAATGGCAGGAGAAGTGGGACAACTCGTCGAAGGGAAGATGGACTCATCGGCTGATCTCACAGTTGAATGCTTGGTTAAACCGCACACATGGTGAGGATAATTATTACCTGACGCAAATGTTTTCGGGACATGGGTGCTTCCGGGCGTATCTTCATCAATTCAAACATGAGGATTCCCCGAAGTGCCCAGTCTGCACCGAAGTCGACGAAGATGCGGAGCATGTGTTTTTCAGATGCCCCCGCTTCAGCGAGATACGGCGTGTTTGAGAATCTGACCTTGGAAGGGAGGTCTTGCCTGAAACCATGGTGGAAGCAATGCTGTCATCGCAGGCAGCCCGGGATACAACGAGCAAGTTCGCGGCAGCAGTCATGAAGGAGCTAAGAATTGAGGAGCGCCAGCGGAAGGCCCCAGCATAGGTGAAAAATCTTTTGGAACCTCCTACCCACACTCAACATCCTAGATGGGTAGGAGGATGTACTCTAGATGCACACAATATGGAAGAGCAAAGAGCTGAGACCTCCCTCGCGAAGTAATACTTAACGGTGGTGCCGCGAGGGATTTAAAAGTTAGTGAATTCATCTGAACAGAGTTTAGTGGGTATTAGTCCTTGTGACTCGAGCCCCACATACCCCCGTTGTAGGAGGAAATTTCGATTCTCTCCCTCAAGTGGGGATGCATAAATGCATTCTCTAAACAGACGTTAAAAAAAACACATGCAGACATGTGTTCAAAAACATCATAGAACGATTTCGGGAGTCATGAAACGTGGAGATATTATTAAATTTCCACTTTCGATTTTCGGGGTCATTACAAGAACTTCCTCCCTTCGGGTCGGGAAGTTAAAAAAAGAAAGAAAAGGGGAGAATTATGGATAGCTCCTACTGTGATATACATTGTGTAATTTTTTTTGTGATTTTTTCTTGCTGTGATATTTTTTTCTGTGATTTTCTTTCATTGTGATATTTTTTGAGATATTTTTCTCTAAATTTAGAAATGTATTTAATGAAGGAATCATTCACAGGTCAATGGAGACTTAATTCCAGTAGAGTTGATGGAAGTTGAAAAAAGAATTGAAAAAATGAAAAATAATAAAATGACGAAAAAAATTGATCGATATATGAGAAAAGGGGAAAAAATATAATCACAACGAAGTAGTGAAGAGAAATCTGAGTTATCGATAAACGCTACGAATTGGAAATCAAATTCTCGTTTGTTCGAATATCGATTTTCTGGGGGAGAACGAATCAATTTCAATTCGCTAAATTTGTCGATAATTCAGATTTCTGTTTTGAAATTTTTGTGTGATTACAGATGGTTTTTGTCACCCCCATGCACATACTGTTCCAGAGATATCGCTCAAAGGAGTAGATCATTCCAAAATACCTGTGTCGTGAACCATTCGATTTCCTCCAAAAAATATATAATTATATTTCCCGTTGAATGTTCTCTTTGAAATCGATGGAATTTGATGGATTACTGTTCATGGCTACTTCAATGAGTTATGAATCTGATGATATCTCCATGTTTCATGAGTCTTCGAGATTAGGGGAAAATTTTATGAGACAGTTTTTATCAAATTTATTGTTTATCTCATGGTTAGGGGACGTAAATGTATATTTTGCGTATCAAGATGATGACGGCATTAAAAATTGCTCTTTTTCCACAGATCGAGGGTGTAACAGTGGCTTAAGCCGTAGATCTTGGCGCGGTGGTCGCGGTGGTCGCGGGGATCGCCGTGGCCGTGGAGGATATGGCGGAGGCGGATTCACAATCCGCTTCCATTAACATCATCATCTCATTTCATAGTATTTTTTTTGTGATATATTTTTCTGTGATATTCTATGTGATATTTTTGTATGATTTTTTTTTGTTATATTTTTTTGAGACTGACAAACAAATTCTTATTCTTCGTCTTCTCTTTATTATACTTTTCTTGTGTTGGAATATCGATGAATCCCTTATTTTAACATTCATTATAGAAAATAATAATCGGGGAGTTTTGGGTGCGGCCTCAACGGGTCACACCAATCGCAATACATCACTAACAACGCACCCCACATTGTGAGCGAGCTGATTTGTTTGCATTCTATTTTTCTGCTTTCTTCATTGAAAAAATTAAACACACAAAAATTGAAGGATTTTTCTAATGAATGACGGAAAGGCAATTGGTCGGGAACTTATTGGTTCGATCCGTAATGGGTTACACCCACTCCAACCCACCCGCCATAGGAGCGAGCGTAGCGAGCGACCAACAACCCAATCCACTAATTGTTTTTCAATCGATGCATCTCCATGTAACTCAGAACTCATCATTTCCAAAAGATGATTGCCCCAGTGGTTATTTAGTTAACAGCAAAAAATACGTGAAAAAAGTAAACAAGTGGATAATTGCATTTCCTATGAGTGCGTATAGTTTTGTTGCTAATAAATTAGCAATATGCTTCCGAATGTATGGTCTATTTTAGAAATTTTTATTTTAGTATTATTTTTAAATTCCCGACCCGGAGGGAGGAAGTTATTGTAATGTCCCCGAAAATCGAAAGGAAAATCAGAAGGGAAATTTTATGATTTCTCGACGTTTCATGACCCCTAGAAACATTTCCGACAATTTTTAGAAACCGGTATGTGTGTGTGTGTGTGTGTGAGTGTGACCAAAATTTTATGCTACGATTACGCTCGGACGAATAAGACGATTTTTTTTTCGTGCAATCGATGTGTTTCAACGTAACTTAGAGTTGATTAGATTTTGAACAACACTGACTCAGCAGTTTTTTAGATTTTCCAAGTAAACTAGCTAAAAAGCGCCGAAAAATGATTTTTTTTTTTTTTTTGTAAATTTGATTATTTTTTCTGAACAAACGATGGGATTGATTAGTTTTCATCATAATCGATGCGGCTTTATATCACCTACACTGGAGTGAAATTCCAGCGGAATCGTCTCAGCCGTTTTTGAGTAATTCGATTATAAATTTTTAAAATGTAAATTTTCTGACATTCATTTCACTGTTAAAATGGATTCATTGCAACTTCGAACTTGATCCACTTCAATACTTTCCGACTTAAATTTTTTTCAAATTCAAAATTTTTCCAACTTCAAATTTTTCCGACGTCAAAAGTTGACTACTTCGAAATTTTTACCTCCGATGGCAAACCAAAGGGAGGGGTATGCTTTTGCCAGCCCATAACATGACTCTTCAATATCATTGTCCAGGCGAAATGACATGAAAAACGATTTGAAAAAATTTGGTTCATATGTTCCTTTAAGGGACGTATGTATAACTTCCCAACGAAATCTGAAATTTGAAATTGGAAATTTGAAATTTGAATTGCAGGGAGTTGTAATTTGGAGAAACTGAAACGTTTCGGAACAAATTTCAACTTCCCGAAATTCAAATTTCAATTTTTTTTCTTCTGCTATGTTGACATTTTTCATTGCAGTATTATAAATATTTATGATTAATTTGTTTTGCGTTAATTTGCTTCTCCCAAGTCCAATCCTATTCAATTCGAAATTGATTCAGTTCCATTTTGTGATCTTCAATTGAAAATCGAATTGTGATTTCATTTGGAGTGAGTGAAGTTATTTGATGTAAATGAATGGCAAAAAGTTGAATGGTTATGTTTCACTGCGAAAGGCGAAGGTTGGAGCCTTAGCACTAATTTTAAAAGGGGAGGTGAATGATAATATTATCTATCAATCGAAAATTAACATCGATAGAATCTTGATGCATTGTTACATTAAGACGTCTACTTCATGTTACATTGAAATTTATAGAAATTGTTAAATGGCTGCACCTCACTAGGAGAGACATTAGTTGGAGCCTTCTCTGCGAAAATTCATTTTTTTTATGTGAGACGATCATATGTGAATTATCGAATGATGATCATATATGATCCTATATGACCGCATATAAACCTAGAAAACAATAATAAACAGGCAAAATTTGAATATTACATAATGATTCTTTCTTTTTTTCTGTTTTTACCCTCATTATAAATGAAAAAAATATGTATATTAATATCTCTACTTTTCTCCATAGGTTAGGGTCTGATTACTCCAAACCAAAACGAATCCTTAGCTCAAATTTATTTTCAAGGTAAATTATATAGAAGGATTGACAATTATTTGTACGTTCAAGAGACAGAATAATTTTCCATTTGTCCGGTCTCATTTGAGTTAATGCTTATTTATCTTCTGGATATAGTCTCGTATAAAATGAGTTATTGAAATCCTAATCTCCCATTCTCCTTTGATTGAGGATTTCGTTGAAACGATTGGGTGTAATCGGCTCTTTAGGGGGGAAGGCGAAATTTCATTTTTTCCATTAATCTACATGAAATATCATAAGTTTTATGCTTTCTATGTAATATTTTCCTAACAAGAATGAATATTTAATGCATAAAAATGCATTTTATTTGATGTAAATGAATGGAGAAAAAGTTGAATGGTTGTGTCTTACTGCGAAAGGCGATGGTTGGAGCCTTAGCACTAATTTTAAAAGGGGAGGTGAATGATAAAATTTTCTATTATTCGAAAATTAACATCGATAGAATCTTGATGCATTGTTACATTAAAACATCTACTTCATTAGGTGAGGCGTTGGTTGGGGCCTTCTCCACGAAAATTCAATGTTTTTTTTGTCTTTTCTGACTTGTCACGCAGTGTGAGTAAAAGAACCAAACATGAAATATAATAGTATCTTCTGTCGCTTCAGAACTTTTGAGTAAGTGAAACACTGCCCACGGATATCGTGACAAAGATGTTGTTCGATGAGATGTTGAACATGAGATTACATAATCATATGAGGCCCCATGTGACGCCATATCAGCCCTATATAACCCCATATGACTCACATATGACCCCCGCATGACCCCTTATGTCCTTATACGACTCCGTATCAACTCTATATAATCACCATATGACATCATAAGACCCCATATGACCCCAAGATGAACCCCATATAACCACACCTAATCACGATTTTGCCAAACTTTACTCAGGCGATAGTCGGAATATAATCAAGACTTAACCCGGCCACGATTAATTGAAGAGTTAGTCGGGACCATGAATAAACATGTATAAAACCGACCAATCAAAATGATAACAGATGCATATGGAAGATTACTGAAAATTCTTTACATAAAAAGCTTATATCGCTATTACACAACTTGGTAAATAGTCATACTTTTTTCACCATCTTTCTACTCCATCGAGAAGACAACGAAACAAACTTTTTGAGTCCTAATTTCAATGATATAGCTTTTGGTTTTTCCAATTTATCCCGAAAAATATTTTTTTTTTAAATCCCACAATCAATGTGCTGTAACTTAACAATAAATTGTGCGATTCCCATCATATTTTGATAGAATCCAGGGGCTATCGATACCATTTTTTCAAGCCGTGATTCATTTCATTTCGATAATAATTTTTGGACTGATCGTCGAAAAAACTATTTTTTTTCAATGCCAATATTTTGAGTCCAAACTTTTTGAGTCCTAATTTCAATGATATAGCTTTTGGTTTTTCCAATTTATCCCGAAAAATATTTTTTTTTTAAATCTCACAATCAATGTGCTGTAACTTAACAATAAATTGTGCGATTCCCATTATATTTTGATAGAATCCAGGGGCTATCGATACAATTTTTTCAAGCCATAATTCATTTCATTTCGATAATAATTTTTGGACTGATCGTCGAAAAAACAATTTTTTTTCAATGCCAATATTTCGAAAACTCTATGAATAATTGAACTTTAATGAGTGCCCNGTGAATTGTTTATGATGAATTGTGTCATCATGGTCTCAACAATACGTAAAAATTTGACAATACTTTTTTGTTATTGTATGATTATTTAATAATCCTAGATTCTCATGAATATTCCTAATGATTCAGCAGGGAAGAGAGTCAAATTTTTCCAATGTTAGTGTCTCCGGAAAATGCAAGCGGCACACCACCCTGCACCGTCGCCCATGCCGTGCATTAATCAACTGGACTACTTTCGCAACCTTAAATGTCTTTGTGAATAATCGCAGGGAATTGAAAATCTCTATATTTGTATCCTATTTCAAAACTAATAATAATCATTTGCGAATTGGTAAATTCCAAAATTATAATAACTAGTTATCGCGTTTTTTTTCCATGAGATTGACGATGTATCTACGCAGTTGGGGTTTTGCATGAAAATTTTTTATTGTTGAATATGAAAATTGAATGAAAAATATTAGATACGTATTTTTTTATTTTGAAAAATAATGAAAAATGAACAAGTCGTAGGCGATTGAAAACGTCGAAATTATGACGTCACTCCAAAACGCCCATATACGAATCATTGTGACGTCATAAGTTCAACGTTTCTTCAATTGGCTA